CATGCAGAATGTAAACAGTTCAACCTTACTAAGTCTCTTATTATTTCTCTTTCCTGTTTACCTCTTCATATTTCTCTTGAGTCTTGTATCTGAAAGTCAAATTTTTGATTCAGCTCTGTTCTTTTCATCAAGAATGCTTGAAAGTCCTCTATTTCACTCAATAGCCATTTTTTCCCCAGAAGGATTATACTCAGTTTTGCTGGGTAGGTGATTCTTGGTTGTAATTCTATCTCCTTTATCATCTACAATATTATATTCCAAGCCCTGCAGTCCCTTCATGTAGAATCTTCTGAATCTTCTGTTATCCTTGTGTGATTGTGTTTCCACAATACTTGAATTATTTCTTTCTGGATGCTTGTAATATTTTCTCCTTGACCTGGGAACTCTGGAATTTGGCTACAATGTTCCTAGGAGTTTTCCTTTGGGGGTCTCTTTCAGGAGGTGATTGGTGGATTCTTTCCATTTCTATTTTGCCCTCTGGTTCTAAAATATCAGAGCAGTTTTCTTTGATAATTTCTTGAAATTTGAAAGCTAGGCTCTTTTTTGATCATGGCTTTCAGATAGTCCACTAATTTTTAAATTTACTCTCCTGGATCTGTTTTCTAGATCAGTTGTTTTTCCAATGAGATATTTCACATTGTTTTCTATTTTTTTTTCATTTTTTTGAATCTGTTTTACAGTGTTTTGATTTCTTTTAAAGTCACTGGCTTCTGATTGCTCCATTCTAATTTTTAAGTATTTTCTTCAGTAAGCTTTTGGGCTTCCTTTTCCATTTGGCCAATTTTGCTTTTTAGGGCATTCTTCTCCTCATTGGCTTTTTGGACCTTTTTTGCCATTTGGGTTAGGCTATTTTTTAAGGTGTTATTTTCTTCAGTATTTTTTTTTTGGTCTCCTTTAGCAAGCTGTTGACTTGTTTTTCATGATTTTCTCGCATCACTCTCAGTTTTTCCTCTACTTCCCTTACTTGCTTCTCAAAATCCTTTTTGAGCTCTTCCATGGCCTGGCACAGATTCATATTTTTCTTGGAGGCTTTGGATGTAGGAGCTTTGACTATGTTGTCTTCTTCTGGTTGCATGTTTTGATCTTCTTTGTCACCAAAGAAAGATTCTATGGTCTGACTCTTTTTGCGCTGCTTGCTCGTGATCCCAGCTAATTACTTGAGTTTTAAACTCTTTGTTAAGGTAGGGGTCTGCTTCCAGTGTGGAGAATGTACTGTCCCACACTTTGGGGGTTTTGTGCAGCTGTTTTCAGAGATACTTCTAGGGACCTGTAAATGTTCAGTTCTTCCAAGGGGCTATGATTAAGGGCGAGGTGTTCACGCCTTTCTTGGCCTATGCTGTGGTCTACCAGTGACCACAAGCACCCTTTTCTGTTTGGAAAATGAGAGGAGGATTTTCTCTGTACCACCACTAAAAGCTCAACCAAGCCAGCGCTCCTCCTCACCCCAGGACCGCCCCCCAGAACTGTGACCCAGATCTAAGCACAGGCAAAGCAAGAGAATCCTGCACCGGCCATCCCCCTCTGGTCAGCCACTTGATTCCCCCTAAGCTTGTGGGCCAGAAGCTCCAGAGGCAGCTGCCACCCAGAGGCCACACTCAGGGACTAGGGCTGGGACCCCACTGAGCTTCTTTCTTATTACCGCAGAAATAGACCCTTTCTGCTGACCTTCCAAGCTGTCCCTGATGTTCATGGGTTGAGAAGTCTGGAAACCACCACAGCTGCCTGTGATTCAGTCCTCTGAGGCATGTTCTAGGTTCACTGAGGCCTGGGCGCCCATGCCAAACTGGGCTCCTCTCCCAGCCTGAAGTAATGTACATTTCTGCCCAAGATCCAGGTTGTCTTGGGCTGGAATTTTGTTTCACTCTGCCTTTTTTGTGGGTTCTGCTGCTTTAGAATTTGTTTCAAGCCATTTTTTACAGGTATTTGGAGAGGTTTGGGGGAGAGCTTAAGCAAGTCATTATTTTCACTCTACCAACTTGGTTCCGCCTACTTTTTAATTACTAAAACTTGATTTTTCCCTCTCAGATCTCGATAAAGCCAACTATAAAATAAATAAGAAAGAAATCAAAGAGATAAATCTTAGAAAAGTTGAATATGATAGACCTCTGGAGAAAATGGAATGCAAATAGAAAGGAGCATACCTTTTTCTCAGTTGTACATGGCACTTTTACAAAAATTGACCATATTTTAGGGCATAAAAAACTTGCTACCAAATGCAGAAAGGCAGAAATACTAAATGCATTATTTTCAGACAATTATGCAATAAAATTGCATTCCAAAAAGGCCCATGAAAGCATATATTAAAATTTTATTGAAAATTAAATACTGTAACCCTAAAAATGAGTAAGTCAAAGAAGATATCATAAAAAACAACCAATAATTTCATTAAAGAGAATGACAAAAAAGAGAAAACATAGTAAAATTTGTGGGATGCTGCCACAGTAATACTGAGGTGGAAATTAGTGTTTCTAAACATGCACATCAGTAAAAGAGAGAAAGAGCAGATCAATAAATTAAGAATATGACTCAAAAAAAAAACCTGCAGAGGCGGGGGACAAAAATCTCTAATTAAACAGCAAAATGGAAATCCTAAAAATGAAAGGAGAGATTAATAAAAATTGAATCTTAAAGGAAATGAGGTGATAAGTAAAACTAGGAGTTGTTTTTTTGGGGAAAAGTAGATAAAACATTGGCTAATTTGATTAAAAAGGAGAAGAGAACTAAATTACCACTATCAAAAATTTAAATAATAAATATGCCACCAAATGAAGAGGAAATTAAAGCAATTATTAGGAGTTATTTTGCCCAATTATGTGCTACTAATATTGATAATCTAAGTGAAATGGATGGATATTTACAAAAATAGAAACTGGCCAGAAAAACAAAAGAGGAAATAGAATACTTAAATAAGCCTATCATCTTAGAAAAAGACATTGAACAAACTATCAGTGAGGTCCCTAAGAAAAAAAATCCTCAAGATCTGATGAATTTACAAGTGTAAACATTTAAGGAAAAATTAATCCCAATAACATATAAACTATTTGATAAAGTGAGTAAAGGATTCCTATCAAATTCCTTTGATAACACAAATGTGGTCTTACTCTCTAAAGCAGGGAGAGCAAAAAGAAAGAAAACTACAAATTTCTTTAGTGAATATTGATGCAAAAATTAAATAAAATACTAGCAAGGCAATTTCATTAAGATATCACAATGCTCTTACACAATGACCAGGTGGAACTTATATCAAGAATGTGCTCCTGGTTCAATATTAGGAAAACTATAAATGTAATTGACCATATCAATAACAAAACCAACAAAAAATCAGATGATTATATCAATAGATGCAAAAAAAATTGATAAAATACAATACCAATTCCCATTGAAAACACTGGAAATCATAGGAATAAGTGGAATCTTTCTTAAAATGATAAACAGTAGCTATCTAAACCCAAAAGCAAGAATTATCTGTAATGAATTATCTGTAATGGGGATAACTTGAAGTCTTCCCAATAAGATCAGGAGTAGATCAAGGATTTTCATCATCACCACTACTATTCAATATTGAACTAGAAATGCTAGCTATAGCAATAAGACAAGAAAAAAAATTGGAATTAAAATTGGCAATGAGGAAATAAAACCACACAATCCTTCTTTGCAGATATGATTTTATACTTAAGAATACCATAAAGAATCAACTAAAAATTAGTTGAAATAATAAAAAAAACTAATAACATTGTGGAATATAAAATAAAACCACATAAATCATTAACATTTTTCTATATTACCAAGAAAACTCAGAAGGAAGAGATAGAAAGAGAAATTCCATTTAAAATAACTGTTGACAATAGAAAATGCTTGGGAGTCTACCTGCTGAGACAAACTCAGGGACTGTATGGTTGATTGTTGTCCTTCATTCTTGAAGAGGACCAAATTGACATACTCTGTTTGGGTCAAAGTATAGTATAGCAACTATAGTTGATCAAACTAATAAGACTTTGGAAAGATCTATCACAGGTCAGACACAAATAGTCCACATGAACATTTGGGGTAGATTCTCTAAATTTGTGCATCTCGAGTTTCTTTTGAGCTACTGCAATTCTGCTTTGCTCATGGAGCGCAGCACCTTCTTTGATGTGAGCAGGTGGTCCTGTACCAGTGTCTTCCAGGTCTCATAATCAATTTCAAAGTTTTTCAGAGAGATCTTGAGAGTGTCCTTATCTCACTTCTTCTGACCTCCATGTGAGTGCTTGCCTTGGATGAGTTTTCCATAAAATAGTCTTTTAGGCAAAAGTATGTTCGGTATTTGAACAACGTGGCCAACCTACCAAAGTTGTACACTCTGTAGTAGAGTTTGAATGCTTGGCAGTTTAGTTCAAAAAAGGACCTCAGTATCTGATACCTTATCTAACAGAAGATCATCAGAATCTTCGTAAGACAATTCAAAAGGAAGAAATTCTGTTTCCTGGCATGGCAACTGGGATACTGTCTGGGTATCATAGGCATGCAACAATAAGGATAGCACAATGGCTCAGTAGACCTTCAGTTTGGTAGGCAACCTAATACCTCTTCTCCCCCACACTTTCCTTCAAAGCCCCCCAAACACTGAGCTAGCTCTGGCAATGCATGTGTTAACCTTATCATTTATGTGTATATCCCTGGAAAAGTATATTGCCAAGGTAAGTCAACTTATCCACAGCTTTCAAAGTTTATATAATTGCTGCAACTGATAGTTCCATATATGGCTGGTGTGGTGCTGGCTGGTGGAAAACCTCTGTTTTCTTTATGGTGTTAGGCCAAAATTAGCACAGTCAGCAAATAATTAATCCATACTCTGTTGCATTTAATCCTCAGAGGCTGCACTGAGTGTGCAATCATTTGCAAACACAAAGTTACTCAGTAACTCTCTCTCCATGTTAATCTTGCCTTGTATCCTTTTCAAGTTAAATAATTTACTATCTGTGTGGTAGCTGATCCTGATGCCTTTTTCATTCTCACTGAAGGCTTCTGACAATATCACAGAAAACATCATGCTAAAAAGCATAGGAGCAAGAATGCAGTCCTGCTTTACTCCACTGGTGACTGGGAAAGCACAGGAGCATTGTTCACTGTCCAGAACCCATGTAAGTATGCTGTCATTAAACTGACATACAACACTGATGAACTTCTCTGAGCAACCAGAGAAAGTTCTCCCTGGTTTCCACAAGCTGCCATGATCGACAGTGTCAAAGGCCTTCATTAGATCAATAAACATTGTCCTACTCTTGGAATTTTCCTGGAGTTGTCCAGTGTAACAGACCATGTGAGGAAGTGGGGAATTGACTATAATATCTATCTGAAGGGGTCCAAAAGGGATGCAATATGCGGACAGAATATTTAATACTAAACTTCGCCTTTTACCATCCATATGACCATGCACAGGACACTTAGTCTCCTAGATTTCCTTCTTCTCATCTTCAAAATGATGAAATTGAACAAGATAGTATCTTGTTCCTCAGCCCTTTCTGAAGCCACACTGGCTTGATTTAATGTAAATTTGATTTAAGTGAGGCAGAAGAGCTTAAAGTCATCAGCCTCACTCTCTCTTTCAGAGTCATTAGAGCGGCAAGACAGAAGTCAAGATGACTGGCAATGGCTCAGGATGCTGTGGATGATCTGGGCAATGTCTAACCAAGCTCTTAGCACTCCACAGAATGGATTTGTGGCCATTGGAACAAATTGTTCTCATCTGCCCATTCTGCCAGGGGAAGTCTTCACATTCTTGGGGTAGACACCTCCCTAATTCACTAATGGATTTCAGAACCCTTGGTTAACTTCAACCTGCTTTTAGCTTGTGTCCTGAAATGGCTTACCAGGGTGTGATTCTTGTGTATGCTATAGCTTCTTGGAGCCACAGGTGAGAGGTAGGTGGAACAGATGGACAGCAACAGTGGAAAGCAACCCTGAAAAGGGCTTGGCAGCACTCACACCAGGGTTTCTAGTCTTCCCTACACATCCTACATCTCAGGATAATATTAATTCAAATAGAAAACACTTTTCACACAAATAAAGGTAGATCTAAACAATTAATTGCCCATGAGTAGACCTAGCCATTAGTTTTTTAGATGACAATTCTACCTGTTAATTTTTTTATTCTTTGCCAAACCAATCAAACCACCAAATAATAATATAGAGCTAGAAAAAAAATAATGACTAAATTCAGCTGGAAGAACAAAGAGTTCTTCAGAAAACAGAAAAGGAAAATGACAAATGCTGGGGTAGATGTGGAAAATTGGGAAACTAATGCACTGTTGGCAGAATTGTGAACTAGTACAGCCATTATGGAGAACAATTTGGAACTAAACCCAAAGGGCTCTAAAACTCTGCATGCACATTGAACCAGCAATGCCACTATAACAGAAAAGGTCCAATTTGTACAAATATGTTTATAGCAGCTCCTTTTGTGGTGGCAAAGAACTGGAAATTGAGGAGATGCCCATTATCTGGGAAATGGCTGAGCAAGTTGTGGAATATAATTATGATGGAAAACTATTGTGGCACAAGAAATGAGGAGCAAGATGGTTTCAGGGAAAAAAAAAACTTGGAAAAACACAAATTAATTCATACAAACTGAAGTGAGCAGAATCAAGTGAATATTTTACATAGTAATAGCAATATTATCAGGATAATCAACCCTGAAAGACTTAGGTACTCTGATCAAGATAATGATTCAAAATAATTTCAGAGGATGTATGATGAAAAATACTTTCCGCCTCCAGAGAGAGAACTGATGAACTCTGAAGTCAGACTGAAGTATACTTTCTTAAGCTTTTTTTATTTTTCTTAATTTTTTTCCTGTATTTTCTTTCACAATATGGCTAAGATGAGAATGTTTTGCACAACTTCACATGTATAATCAATATCAAATTGCTTGCCTTCTCAAGGAGAAGGAAGGGGCAGGAGGCAGGAGGTGAATTTGGAAGTCAAATTTTAAAAAACGTTAAAATGTTTGTGTTCAAAATTTAATATTTATATGCAAATTATTTAATAAAACAAAATTAATAAATAAAATACATCTTTAAAAAAATATGCTTTCTTCACAATAACTAATGAGATGGACCATAGAAATCAGAAACTGGGCTTTCATAGAAGCATATAGATTCTTAGCTGGAAGAGACTGTGGATACTATCTTGTTCGATTTCATCATTTTGAAGATGAGAAGAAGGAAATCTAGGAGACTAAGTGTCCTGTCCATGGTCATATGGATGGTAAAAGGCGAAGTTTAGTATTAAATATTCTGTCCGCATATTGCATCCCTTTGGACCCCTTCAGATAGATCTTATAGTCAATTCCCCACCTGCTCACATGGTCTCTTACACTGGATAAAGAAACAAAGATGAAAAAAATGGCTCTCCAAAAAGTTGTAAAGTTGTGTATAGCTCATACCACTTTGATGAGGTTGCTTGCAAACTGGCTCATTTATACAAAATGGAATGGAGAATGTTGAGAAGAGTTGCTATGATGAGATCAGAGTACTACAACAAGAAGCTTGGAAAAGTACATTTCCCTACCTTTTCAAGATTTATTATTTCCCTGGACAGACAGAATTTGATTGCTGAACTTAAGGATTTTCCAGGAAGTTAACAAAGTTTACATTGCGTGAGGTGGTCCTGCCATTATAAGACTAGAAGCATAACAGAGGGACAAAAGCAAGAGTAATATATTGCTTGTGTCTCAAACAGAAGAGTTTCTTCTCCAGGGATATCTGGCACTTTCACAGGGATTAAATTAATTAATGGAAAACAAAAGAAGACCACCAAGGGATACTGACCCTCACAGTCAAAGATAAGTAGAAAAGAAAAAAAAAAGCATGTGATATTTCCATTCTGATACAAACCTTTAAAATGATTCCAGACCAGTTCAAAAGACTTTCATAAATTTAGCCCAAGTCACTTGGAGTTATTTTTCCAAATGGTTCACACATCTGTCGCTCCAATTTATATGCATATTGTGCTTTGTAGGATGCAGCTCAGCTTTGCTGCCAAGGAAAACAGAAACTGTATTTCAGCTGTATCTGTTTGGAAAAGGAGTGACATCTAATGATCAGCTAAATAGAGGTATTTATTGTTTAGGAGCTTAAGCCTTAGCTCTCCCCTAAAGAGAAGTAAATTTGAAAACCATGCTGAACTTATATGGCAGTATAAAGAATATGTTGGAAATTTCTCCCTTGAATAACAAACAAGACCCCTGACATATTTTTCTATCATTTTCTTGGACCTTTTGCCAGCCAGACATAGGGAGCTTGCTTTGAGCACAGGGGATATTTAGGTGATTTTCCACCATAGAAAACTGAATTTTGTGTCTCCTGCCCCCCCTCCCCCTGCCCATGTCACTGAATAGAGTTGTAGATAAAGATAATTGAAGCCAGGGGTGAGTACTTCATTTTTGGGTGTTGCTGGGAAACACTTTAGCTTTCTCTACAGAGAGAAGGAGAGAGAGAGAGAGAGAGAGACTGTCTAAATAAAAGATAATATCACATGCAAAGAAAGTGAAATGCCACCAAACACAAAGGAGTGATTCAGGGTCTTGGATGTGCAGAGTGAATTGGGAAACTGCCCTAAAAGATTTCTGAAAACTAGTTTCCAGAAAATGCTGAGGTCACTGGAGAAATTCAGACATGCAGAAAATCATATTATATGACCTGATAGATCATTTGATACCATTTTACTTAAGGAAGAACTTTGAATCATTTCCTGACCATGTATGGAGACACTGAATTTTAGAAATTATATTTAAAAAAACCTTTTTTATAGTTTTTAATTCGTTTTTCCACCCCTATTTCTTTAAATCATCTTCCTGAATATCGATTATATAGCAACATTATGCAAAAAAAATGATGAAAAAAGATTTCAAGCTCAAAGGGACATTTGACTTGACTTTGAGGTCAAGTAGTTCTTGTTTCCCATTTCTATACATGAGGAACCTAAGACCTAAACAAAGAAAGTGATTTGCCCAATGTCATGGAAGAAGGAAAGGGCCAAGCCAGGATTGGAAGCTAGGTCTTCCTACTCTTTCTGCTACACCATCACTTGAACTACTTGTGGATTCGTGAGAAATGGATTTCCAAGTATCACTGAGCTATATTTTAAACAATCTATTAAGAAAAAGAAGAAAATGTGAAATAGTGGATTTTTTTTCCATTTTAGAACACTGCTACAGTACTATAGATAACATTGTTAAATGTCAGTGCATTCCAGTTAGCAATATTCTGGTAAATAGAGCTGACAGATCCACTATAGAGGGATGATCATTATTACAAGACTTTTTTTATTTGGTTCAGATCTGTGATTTCATTGGTAAAGGGGAGCTCTCAATGTTGATATTTTTACCACCAATGAGTATTGGCAATTGATCTATTACCTATAGTCTTAAAGAATTGCCTGGAGTTCTGAGAGATTGAGTCAGTCGACAAACATTTGTTAAGTGCTTACTCTGGGTCAGGAATGCACTGCTCAGGATCACACAGCTGATAATGTCAGAGATGGGATTTGAAGCCAGGTCTTCCTAACTCTGAAGCTTGCTCTCAGTCCACTCAACCACTATTAAAGAATAAAGCGAAAAAAGAGATATTACCATCTGTTTTGCCACTGCGCACTAAGGGCCTGGGTATTTTTCTGTATGACATGAAGCTTCAATATTGAAACCTTCAATATGTTTTATAGGTTAAATAGTGCAGTGTGCCTAGAGTCAGAGAAACCTGAGTTCAAATATAAACTCAGGCACGTGTGACTGTGGGCAAGTCATTTAACCTCTGTTTGACTCAGTTTCCTCAATTGTAAAATGAGGATAATTAACAGCACCTACCTCTCAATGTTGAGATGATGAAATGAGGTAATATTTGTGAAGCTCTTAGTACAATGCCTAGAAAATAGTAGTTATTAAATGCTTATTCACTTCCTTTCCCCAAAATTCCCTTTCCTCCTCTCCCCCACCAATATAATGTGAGCTTCTTGGGAACAGGAACTGTCTTACCTTTCTGTTTTTAACTACACAGAGAAGGAAATACGTTTCAGTGGAAAGAGTGCTGGATTTGGAGTCAAAAGTTGATACTGTTCATTGTTTCAGTCGTGTATTTGTGACCCCATTTGGGGTTTTCTCTGCAAAAGTACTGCAGTGGTTTGCCATTTCCTTCTCCAGCTCATTTTACAGATGAGGAAAGTGAGATAAACAAGTGACTTGCCCAGTGTCACACAACTAGTAAGTGTCTGAGGCCAGATTGAACTCAGGAAGTGTCTGAGGCCAAATTTGAACTTAGGAGTGATGAGTCTTTCTGACTCCAGGCTCAACACCCTATCCACTGCACCACCTAGATCCACCCTTGGAGTCAAAGGACCTGGGTTAAAATCTGGATTCTGTCAGTGTCGCTGTGGCATAATGGACAGAGTAGCAGACTCAGAATCAGAAAGACCGAGGTTCAAATTCTGCTTTTGGCACTTACTGTCTCTGTGCTAGACACTCGGCAAGTCCTCTCATTTTTCTGAGCCTTGGTTTCCTCATCTGTAAAATGAAGGGTTTGGACTAAATGGCCTCTAAGATTCCTTACGGCTGTATATCTATAATATTGATTGATTACTACCTATATAATTACTTGCTCCCCAAAGCTATACCTAACACTAAGTTATCCACAGTAAGTGTAAAATTCATAGCCAAGGGACCACGGGGGTGTCCTCTTCAACCAATGACTCCAAACTCTGGGTTTTAGTGGACCCAGTGTAGTCTTGAGGAAGTCTGGCCCCACAAAAGGGACTTAGGCACTTTTAACACTCTTTGGTTTATGGCACCCCCAACTAGCAGCCACAGGGAAAATATCTTAAAACTTAGTTGTTGTTGTTATTGTTGTTGTTTTCTGCTAAGGGCTTTCAAAAAGTGTTAAACAGGGTTTCTTTTACACTAAAAATACATTTAAAATATTTTTTCCCTTTCTACCACAAAGGAATACTTAAAGCATAAAAGACTCAGAAGGGCATAGTGACAAAAGTATTGTATAAATACTTAAAGCATAATATAATGGTCTAATGATCCTACTATATTCTTCCTGAAGGATAGCTTAAAAAAAACAAACTAAAACTCGAGATATTTTATGAGATTAGTGAACAGGCATTTTCACTTTCACCTCAAATATGCACTGTCTGAAGAACTCAGACCCTATATTTTCTGGCAAGCTAGATGTTCACGGCTTGGGCACACCCTCCTGGCAATGGTCATCTCTTTTAAGAAGGTATTTCACACAGACCCGCACCTGGATGCAAGAGCTCCCTGACTCTCAACTTGCAACATTGTTGCTAGAAGAAGTTATCTGAGTCTAGTCATTTCTTCATTCCCAGGGAAAGAAACAGAAGCTGAAGAATATTCTAGGGCTTTGAGATCCAGTTCCAAACCCACATAGAGAGCAAATACTTTTGCCGAGTGGTTGATTAGCTGCCA